TGAGTACTCTAGTGTTTGCATATATACCTAGGGCCTTCCTAGTCTCATCTATATTCTATGTATCCTCATTATATATACCCAGCTTAACACGGAGCTGCTTATAGAGTTAAAGAAACTTACGTATTATCTCCTAAGTTGCTCCCTTAGCTCTTGTAGCCTCAATCTTTCTACCTATTATAGAGGCAACGCGTGGGTTGCGTTTAATAAAGTAGGATATCTAGTATTTACCCACTAACGCGTAGTCGCCGTTCATCCTAAGGATTCGATTCGCCATTTCTCGTGTACAAGCGTGAGAAGGAGGAAACCCGCGCGCGTCCTCTTTAAGTATCCATTATACGAGAAAGTCCTCTTATTGTGGAGTCAATCGTTGCTGGTGTATGTGGCTGTTTTGCCAGTTTTGTGAACCGCGTACGCGCCTAGAGAGCGTGGCTAGGGGGATGTTGTATGCCTTTGCAGCAGCTCGTTGACTAGGAAAAACGCCAGCATTAAGATCACTAATAGCTGCTTGAAATGCAGCCTCACGGTTGGCCATTTTGGCAGGGTGGATGTGGAGATATCGCGATTGTTTGAAGGGTGGAGGATTTCTGCGCGGTGTCTCATATCCCCGGGTGTCTCGGAACCCCATGCGCTAGCTTATTTCATAAAACCTTCTAATCTTATACCTACTCTTAACTTTTACGTAGATTTTCTACGAGGGTTCTCCTGTAAAGAATAATAGCTCAATAGCGTAATCTCAACTTACTTTCGCATGTTCGATTCAGAGGCTGTGCTGTGGCGGAGCGTGGCAGGGCCCTGCTAGCCATGCCCCAGCATTATGGCCATAGCATGGTGTGAAGAGCAGGATATGGATTCCATTATATTAAGGCAGGAATGAGCTGGGTAGCTTTCGCCACAATGATTTGTGCAGATTAGTCAAAGTAGGTCGACTACGGGCAGATAATTGCCTAAATATATTGCTATGAATTATACAATTGAGACAAGGACTTCTCCGGATTCTAGCGCGCATTCATCCTTCTCTCCTTCCAAATTCATCTCGTCTTCCAGTTCCACCTCAATCAGATCTTCAACATCGGTTTCTAGGTACCTCGATCTGTCGTAGCTTTCCCACCATGCATTCTTCGCAAGACTCATATTATCAACCTTGTCTCTTGAGAACCATCTCCAACGCACTTTGCGATACTGGATTGCATATATCTGCTCACCCGGCGCGATAAATTGTCTTTGTTCGTTTTGCAACGCTCCAAGAGAGCCACCAAACCCAGGGTCCACCGCATTGGTAAATGGTACAACAACGCCAGATGCTGTCAGGGCTGTTGATACTGATATCGCCAGTGTTCCGCCAGCAGCGCTTTGCCCCTGTCGCTGTTCTACTATTCGAGCGTTTAACAACGTGTGATAAGCTACGACAACATATATGTTCTCCCCTTCGTCAATAGTTCTCTCGATCCATTTACGGGTTTCTTCAGATTTAACAGCGTCTCGAAACCACTGACCAGCGTTATTTAGGTAGTACGTTTTGGCTTCATCGGCGATAATTCGAATTGACGTTTTGAGACGCTTTGAAAACGATGAGGAGAGAAAGCCAGTGAGCTGCGATGCTCCCTTTTGATGTTTGATGGAATGATGACTGCTGTCGAAGCGAATTTGGACTTTCTCAGTGACATCGGGGCCGGCAGGGCAGAGCGGATCATGAAAGTCATGATGAGGCTCATCAAAACTGATAACAAAGCGACCTAGAGCAACAGCAGATAGCGGAAGAAAATGCTTTGAGAGAAGAATGCTTCGAGGCATATCGAGATATGTTTATGATCGCTAAGTGAGATGAATTTGTCGCGTGTATTTAAGGTTTGTAGAACAAGGCTGTGTTTCGAGCTGTGACGTGGCCATTACTGCTTTCGTCAAGCTGCCGAGAGTCAGCTGCGCTTCGCCACATCCTTCGAGCTGAACATTGCAAAATCAAGCTGGGATTATAATACGCCTGGGAAACAGCGCGCTGTTTTTCCTCACCCTTATCGCTAAAGAAATTCTGTTGTTACCTTGAACATTTTGTTAAGTTTGCTTGCACCTCGTTACGCTAGACATCCAGCAGCTATGGATGACGGAATCGATTTCGATACGCTACTACTGGATAACTTCGAGCTTGTCTTGAATTTGGCCACAGGTGAGACAGGAGTTTCTGAATGCGATCGTGTAGCAAATGTTCCCTGGCAGAACTGTGGCTGATTCGTCGGCGGGGACTTTTAGAAGACCTTGAGAAAGTGATCGAGAAGGGAAAGCATGCTATAGCGGAGACGCAAGAGGAGGACGAAGCATACGCAAGAAGGGTCAACAACGTCGGAGTCGTGCTTAGGCTGAAGTATGAACGCACAGGGATGATAAAGGACCTGGAGGAGGCAATTCAATTCACAAGGCAGGCGGTCAGCGTCACACCTGAAGACCATCCAGATCTCACAAGGAGTCTCCACAGTCTAGGCAACCGACTCGGGAACTTGTACGACCGTACAGGGGAAATAGCCCATCTTGAAGAAGCAATTCGAGTAGCGAGGCGGTCAATTTCTGTTACGCCGAAAGGTAATCCAGCTCGCGCAGCCAGGCTGGATAGCCTAGGAAATAAACTTGAACGCCGATACGAACGCGTAGGGAACATTGATGACCTCGAAGAGGCAATTCGGGTAGCGTGGCAGGCGGTTGGCGTTACCACCAAAGATCATCCAGACCTTGCGTCCGTACTAGGCAACCTAGGGACTAAACTTAGCCGTCGATATGAACGCACATCAAAGATGGAGGACCTCGAAGAAATAATTCAACTAGCACGTCGTACAGTCGACGCTACTCCATACAACGATTCAGATCTTGTAGTGTGGCTGAGCAACCTAGGAAATGAACTTCAACGCCGATATAAACGCGCAGGAAACACAGAGGACCTTGAAGAGGCTATTCAAGTAGCACAGCAGGCGGTCAATGTCGCCCCTAAAAGCCATCCACATCTAGCAGTTGCACTGGGTAACACGGCCTACAAACTCGAACTTCGATATGAATGCACGGGGAATATGGAGGACCTTGAAGAGGCAATTCGAGTAGCACGGCAGGCAGTCAATATCACGCCTAACAACCATCCAAAACTTGCAAATATGCTAAACATACTGGGACACGTGCTCAAAAGCCGATATGAGTGTAGGGGGGGGATGAAGGATCTCGAAGAGGCAATTCAACTAGCGCAGCAGGCGCTTGACCTTACGCCTAACGACCACATCGATTTTGCGGCGAGGCTAGGTCACCTAGAAAACATGATGAACAGTCGATATGAGCGTACGGGGAACATTGATGACCTCGAAGAGGCGATTCAAGTGGCGCGGCAGGCAGTCGACGTCACATCGGCCGACTATTTACATCTCGCAGGGAGGCTGACCAATTTGGGAAACATACTCGAAAGTCGATATGAACGCAAAGGGAACATGGA